ACACGTTATTATACGGTTCATACTCGTTATTATACACAGCATACTCGTTAAAATACAGTGCATACACGTTATTATACATTGCTTACTCGTTATTATACACTACATACTCGTTATTACAAACTGCAAACCTGTTATTATACACTGTATACTCGTTATTATACACTGCATACTCGTTATTACAAACTGCAAACCTGTTATTATACACTGCATACTCGTTATTATACACTGCATACTCGTTATTATATACTGTATTCTCGTTATTATACGACTGCATACTCGTTATTATATACTGCATACTCGTTATTATACACTGCTTACTCGTTATTATACACATCATCCCAAAATGCAATTCGGTTTGTAATCCAACACAGAGGGCGTTTACACGTGATTTCTAAAATGTCGGCGGCACAAGTAGATTACCGAGATCGTGATCGAGAGATTGAAACTGTTATGCTGAGGCTGGGATTAGGAAACCTAACACAGCGTTTTAGGGATGAACGGATAGATATACACACCGTGCCAAATTTAACTGATGGTCAGTTAATTCGACTTGGGGTGAGTAAGATGGGCGATCAGGTTCGGTTACGTGAGATGGTAAGCGAAATTGTCAACAAAAAAGACGACATACCGAGCACCAGTGCACGTCGACATGGCGCTGCTGAAATTGCACTAGAGCGTGCATCCTTATTCTCGCCAAGTACCTCTTCCTCCTCGGGGTCATCTAACGCCCGTGGCCAGAAAAGGAAACGCGTCCAATCCAGTGCCGCTCGTCGTAGAACGTGGACTAGTCACCTCATTTGCCTTGCAAGTAGGACGTCGTCAAGAGCCCCGTCAGTAACTGAAAGGCAAGTACTTCACAGAGCGGGATTGGGATCGAAAAAAATACAGTTTTTGGCCGATGATGATGAAGAAAGTGTAATACAAAAAATATCGGACGAGTCTGAAGGTTTCCCGCAATTACGTAACTGTGGTGGATTCGAACTGATGCAGTGTTTACCGCATTGTCGTGAGTTGACGTTAGTCAGCTGTCGATCGTGGTCTGTCAGTGAATTAAAGGCGCACATGGGATCCCAAGCAAAAATCTACATTCGACCAATCCAAACGACACTTAGCACGGAACCAATTGAACAACAAGCAGAAAGTTCGTCCTTAAAAGAAATATGTAGAGGTTGCAATCAAGAAGTCCTTGTCCGGGAATTACGTGATCATCTCTGGACGTGTTCCTCTGTATTTGATGACAGTGAAGATGAAAATATCACAACTATGACTTTGGTAAGTTTCAATATTAAGGTGTCGGTAATTCAGTTTTCAGACAGAATGTATGAATGACTTGAAGTCGTATTCTTAATAGGATCTTAACTAAATGAGGTACAATAAAGTATAAAAAATACAATAAATATTATTAGCAACAAGTAGACAACAACAATAAACAAAAGAATATGAAATCACTGAAAAGCAGGTAAAGTAAATAAAATATTAATCTATGTTTTCTGGGCAGCTGGTTTCTTTGATTAGAATGCATGTAGTGCAAAATGTGAATTTTGTAAACATCCGAAAAACACAGCAGTATTTTTTATTCCCGAGCACACATAACATAAACAGTGAAACATTAAATGTGACATTTTGATTCCACTACATCACATGTATATTTAATAATCATTACATAGTGTGATTGCCATGGTAATAGTATGGCATCTCCTTGTACATGTTAACATACTAAATGTATGTATTTCTCATTTATAGACAAATGAAAATATACCCTTGGTATCTGCCGTACAAGAAGACGTCGTTATTAATGAGTAAGTGATTCTTAGACATAGACCTACATACAAAATTCTCTCATCTGCTCGCCATTCTAACAGTCTGAGTGATATGATTTGCTTTGCAATCACATGGCCATGGTGCATATCGTTCCCAGTTGTGGCATTTATCGTGAAAGATCACTGCTGATATGGTACGGTAAACGTCACGATATTCACGTTAAAAGTCATAGTTTTATGTGTGTTCGAACCGCACGCTGTTTATTTTGGAAAGACGTCTAAAAGAAGGGTAATATTCAGCTGATTATCAAAAAACATCGGTGGCCGCAGAGAAGTTCCGTAAAAATATAATTTCTCTGTCCTTTTGACACTCAACGTTGGTCATGTGATAAAAAGGTTATCACTTGATATCCTTTGTTCGTAGAGCTGGTTGAAAGGCTCGCTATATAGCAGCATAGTGGCTACAATTAGGCTAACCAAAAACTGAATCTGATCTGCCCATTATCCCAGACCATCTACATACCAAGTTTCATTGAAATCCAAACCATTCATCATCCATAAATACAGGTTTTTTACATCTAAGTGGTATCATTCAAATTGAACTAACAATTTTACCATATATTTTTAGTTGCGATTCTATCAAGCTGTTAGGAATGAAGGGAGGAACTCCTGACAAAATAACCTTAGTAGCTGGTTTAGTCAAAGGTTCAACATGAACGAGAATATCTCCAATGTCAGTAATACTGGCAGCACAAACTTGCTCGACAGAGCTCAAAGAATCAAGAAACACAATAACACTGCCGTTGGCTCTTGAAGCAGACAGACAGACAGACAGACAGACATGGTAACCACAAAGACTCCCTTTTTGTGCATCGCACACGTGAGACAAAAGTGACAATCATATGACACAAGTAGATTAAGAATAAACATACCCATGATTACACCAAATAGTCATATAATCACTGGACATATACATCTTCTTCCCATTATCAAAGT